CCAGAGGGTGGGTGAAGGCAGAGAGGGGTTGTTATCCCAGCAGGGACACAATTAACGCCCCCCAACTCCCATCCTTCCCCCCAGGACACGCCGTCACGCCCAGCCCGGAGCCACCCCGGCCATGAACTGCCGTGCGGAGGTGCTGGAGGTGTCGGTGGAGGGTCGGCAGGTGGAGGAGGCCATGCTGGCCGTGCTCCACACCGTCCTGCTGCACCGCAGCACCGGCAAGTTCCACTACAAGAAGGAGGGCACCTACTCCATCGGCACGGTGGGCACCCAGGACGTGGACTGTGACTTCATCGACTTCGCCTATGTCCGTGTCTCCTCCGAGGAGCTGGACCGGGCCCTCCGCAAGGCCGTCGGGGAGTTCAAGGTAAGGGAGCCCCGCAGGGAGCCGAAAGCGGGAGTTTAAAAACCTGTGGGCTCGTGTCGTGCCCTCTCCTGCGCGGGGAAGGTCAGTCCGTTGCCCCCTCCCCAAGCAGAGCCGCGTGCTCTCTCGGCAGGACGCGTTGCGCAACTCGGGCAGCGACGGGATGGGGCAGATCTCCCTGGAGTTCTACCAGAAGAAGAAATCACGCTGGCCCTTCTCAGACGAGTGCATCCCCTGGGAGCTGTGGACCATCAAGGTGAACGTGGTGAACCTGGCGAACGAGCAGGAGCGGCAGATCTGCCGGGAGAAGGTGGGCGAGAAGCTCTGCGAGAAGATCATCAACATCGTGGAGGTGATGAACCGCCACGAGTACCTGCCCAAGATGCCCACCCAGTCGGAGGTGGACAACGTCTTCGACACCAGCCTGAAGGACGTCCAGCCCTACCTGTACAAGATCTCCTACCAGATCACGGACTCCCTGGGCACCTCGGTCACCACCACCATGCGCCGGCTCATCAAGGACACGCTGGCTCTGTAGGGCCAGGTGCCATCGAGAGGTGACACCTCTCCAGCACAGCCCTTTGGGACAGTATCTCTGCTTGGATCCCTCCTCTCCGCCTCCAAAAAAGCGTCTGCAGGGAGCTGGACTCCGCCTGAGCCGTAATTGGGGGGTTGCTGCTGGTTTGGTGTGTGCCGTGGGCTTTGTGTGCCATGGGCTTGGAGAACCGGCTCGGTGGCTCCTGGGTTGGCTGAGGTGTGGCGAGTCCTCGGGGCAAGAGCTGCTGGTCGGCGCGTGTGGCGCCGGCCTGGCACCGGGCTCGTGGCTCAGCATGGAGAGGGGATGGCAGCGTCCCTTGTCACTGCCTGTGTCCCTCGATGGCATCCACATCCCTGGGACTGAGCCGCTTCCCTGTGGGGCGTGGAGTCGAGCTCCCCCTCGGGGGAAAATAAAGGGTTTCTCCTTTTTCTCCTTTCACTGGTCCCGTCCTGGCTGTCCGTGGGGCCAGGGTTGAGCTGGGGGCCCCCACCGTGTCCCTGTGCTGTGGGGCGTACCGGCCACAGTGGGGAGAGGCAGAGACGGGGGACGTGACACCCCCTGGGAGCGATACCCTGAGTCCCAACTGCCCCCTAAGTGTATCCAGGGAGAGGATGGGGTGATCCCCTTTCCATGCAGGACTCC